AGAGTACTTTGAAAATTAGTCTGAAGCCGAAAGGATAATAAACAATGCAGTTTCACGCCATAATTTTGCACTGATTTAAGAGCCTGTCGGGCAATTAATCTTAACATATTCAGCGACAAAACATTGCAAACTGATGTGCAACAATGTTGCAACGACAAACAAAGGCAACGCAAAGAGGCAAGAGGAAACAGGAAATATGTTACACAAAAACCAAACAGCAGCTCCAAACTGACCCAACGCCAGGACACAAAAAACAATTAAAATCAAAAATAATAGGGTATCTATCCTATTTATATATATATATAGATAGATATAGTTAGCCATGATGGATGTATGTGTAATTTATTCTATTCATTTGTTTAGTTGCATGCATCTGGCGCTGTCGCTGATGTGCACCGAATATTGATTGTGCCGCAAATACAATTGAAATGTATCTGTGACAAAAGTGGCAAGCAGCAAATTGCTGCTGCTGCTGAAATATCCAAATCAAATTGCAAATTTCTGTATAATTGGCGTGACCAATGCAAAAGCTCGATTTCAGCACATATGTCCAGCTACATACATGCATCTATAATATGTAAATACATATAGATATATATATATATAGATGTATATAATAATATTGGAGTTTTTGTATATTGTCATCGCGCCAAAAAGCGGCGTATGGCAAACTATTTAAAATGCATCCAAAGAGATACATTACACACTGCGAGCTTGGCTGCCAAGTCTCTGGAAATTCCCTTCACTGCATTCTTTTCCAAACCAAACCAAACCAACAAAAAAAAAATAAATATTAAAAAATGTAAAAAAGCCAACCAAGACAGATATATATATATGTAGAGAGAGAGAGAGAGGAGACAGAGAGAAACATTGAGCCAGCCAGAGACTGGCATTATAATACTATCTGAGAGATACTTTGGGGCAGGCTTGCAGGTTGGTTCGTTGGTTGGTTTGTTGGTTGGTTGGTTGGTCGGTCGGTCGGTCGGTTGGTGGCAGTTGCAGTTTGTTGTAGTTGTAGTTGTAGTTGTAGTTGTATGTCTGTATGACTGCAGGGCTTATGTCGCCGTAGTCATTTACAGTGTCGTAAATTTTATTAGAGTGTCCCATTCTGTTCGAGGTTGCCACGAAACCTAGTCAAGCAGGCTCGAGCAACTTTAACATCATAATCATCATCATGCAAGCGATTATTTCGTTGCAACACTGCAACAACGGCAACAACGGCTGCCGACCTAACACAATTTTTACTTACTTTGCATTTTATGTCTTTTGTGTTTTACTCGTCGCGTTGCAAAGCCAACAAACATACATATAAACATATATTTATATATATATATATATATACATATATACATTGGATACATTTGTATCTGTAAGTCGTTTCTCATTTCAAAGGCCAACCATTTTTAATGCTTTTATGCCCCGAACCCATTGAAATTGGGTAAAAAGGGTATTGGCAAGTTGTGCAAAAGTGTGTAACAAGCAGTGGATAGCATCTCAGACAGCATATAGCATATATATTCCTGATCCGCAAGACTGCTGCTCAAGATGGAGTCGGAGCTGCTTCCGTTATTTACTTTTGAACATTTGTATTTGAGAATTTGTATCGATTTTCAATGGATCGATGGAGTCTGCCTAATAAATAAATAAATAAGTAAAAAAATAAAACCTTCAATTTTAAAGATGTTATTTTCAAATTGGGTATACCTGCAACTAAATTTAATTTTAATTTATTTATGTGAATTTACTTAAAACAATCAACAGTTGTTAAAAATATGTTAATAAATTGAAAATTTAAAGTTGAAGCTACGTTAATTTAATTAAAAACTTAAGATAAAATAATATCAAATTAGATAAAGAATTAAATAAATAATTCTATAAACCATCTGTCGAAATTTGCTCAAAATTGGTTAAAAGATTATTTTCCAAAATATATTTTCAGCAGTATTGCAGTGAATATCTAAATCATGTATAGAGTATCTGTTAGTCGAGCACTTTCTGGAGTTTCTGGAGCATAATTATTTGTTTTTATTACATGTATATTTTGTTCCCTCGCCCCAAAAGTTTTCAATTTATTTGTAGGAAAACTGATATGACCCGCACTGCTCGAGATATTATTAGACTAGACATTGACTGGGCAATAATATTGTTCGTCTTTTTGTGTTTTTTTTTTGGAATTTGGAATGTGGAATTTTTCATTTGGCATTCATTCATTCAACTTCATTCAACCTCGCAACTTTAGAGAATAAAGTTCAAATGCTATCGGCTCTGACATACTTATATAATTGATAATGTCGCGATGATCCACGATCTGTGGCAGCATCGTTATTCAAATTTGGTTTACTTCAGCTGGTAACCTTTCAAGGTTATCGCTGATCTACACACACACACACACACACTTGATATGTTTAAATTTGAAAATGATTTATTTATTTGGCGATTTTTGAACGCAATTTCATTGAAATTTCCCTAAAGTTCTTTTTAGCTGAATTTATACGCCATGCTTCCATTTGATGTGGGAAAAGTTTGTGCTTAAGCTTCTGGGAAATCATTAAAGTTAAAATTTCATTAGAAGGCAATCATGAGCGCTTTTATACATATAGAATTATTGTTCAAACTTTGGCAAATGTCGAATTCGCTGCGTTCGTGGCATTCTCGAAACTGAAAATGACAGCGTCGCACCAAGTGCAGCCCAAAACACAATACAATTATCAGTGGGCAAATTGCAAAAGAGAGCGTGTGGGCCGTGGGCCGTGTGCTCCCTTGCGGCTTGTGCTCATGCTCTCTCTTAAGCTGTGCGCTCTTCGCCCGCACAAAATGCAGCGTTGCCGTTGTCTTTACCGGTTTTGCTTTTACTACGAATAACGATGCGTTCGTTTGCTGCTTTTCGTTTTGGTTTCTTCTCTTCTTTTTTTTTTTGTTTGTTTCTTTTGTTGCTTTTGGACTACGTGCGGCTGTCGTCTATCTTATAGATAAATTTGTATCTAACGGTTGATTGCAGTGGCAAATGCCGCTCAGCTGTGCGGACCGGCCGTATGTACTGAGACGACAGTGTAGGTATGCGGGCCGCTCAGCAGCGACTTCGTCGGCTTCGGCTTCGGTTCGCTTTCCAGTTTCAATTCCAGTCGTCTGTATTTGTATTTCGGACTGGGACTGAGTAGCCTTCCAACGAGAGCGGCCATGCAACATCGCAAAGTCGCTGGCTGCGTCGCTTAGCGTCAGTTCGGTTCAGTTCGGTTCGGTTCGTTTTCGTTTCGTTTCGCGATTGTTCGAGGGAACAGCACCAGCGTTCCGAACAGTCCGATATTAACTCTCAAACTGTACGGTTTGGCAGCGTTTCCATCAACGAAGGCAGCGCGTCGTGTTCCATGTTTTTACTCTGCCACTGCCTCCAACAACTACAACACTCTAACGCAAAGCAGCAGCAACGACAACGACAACGACAAAAAAAAAAATAAAATTAATACAAAAAAATACAACGACAACAACAACAATTATTGAGCATACTGCAATAAGCGATTGTTGTTGCAAAGTTTAAACAATTGAAGTGAGTGCGCGAAGACAAATAAATATGTGATAACGCAATATAAATTCGACAAAATTAATATATAATACAAAAGAAGAGAAAACAAAAATAATAACAATAATAATACATATTATGTTTGAGGGCAGAAGGGAAATTAACTAACTCAAGCTGTTATTGTTATTACCTCACATCCTGTTCTTTGTGTACTACTCGCACACGCATACAGACACGTACATACATACATATATACATGCATACAGAAGTACACATACATACATACATACATACTTAGATGCGAATTCGCATTCGTTTTTATCTCATATTAGTATGTGAAGGTGTCAGTTCGCGACAATAAATTTTTTGTTTAATATACTACATGTGTGTATTAAAATACCCTGTGTCCATTGAAAATAGGTTAAAGGGGTAGATGGCTGTTGTGTAAATCTATGAAGCAGCCAATCGTTGCTCTATTCTTGATTAGCCAGAGTCGATTGTGGTGTATATATATATGTCAGTCTGGAATATATATTTGAATGAATATATATTTCGACTGACTAATAAAAAAACACAACGTATACACATGTATATGTATGTATAAATATATATATATATATATGTGTGAGTGTATGATTCGAAGCATTAGTGCGGGGTATCTTATAGTCGGACATTGTCAATTAATATGTTTGTACTTGTTTTTGTGTAGATTTTGATTTGAGTAACGAATCCGCGCTTTTCAATTGTTATATCCGGTCTGCTGGAATGTTGCTGTGTGTGAATCTGAATTTCTACACATGTACATTAATGTGCATGCCTATGTTGTGTGTGTGTGTGCAAGAGAGAGAGCGATTGGTGGTACACATAAACAGGCTGAATGAAATAGAAAATTGATCCCAAGAAAAATGAAATGGTTTCGTGTCCGTTGTGTGGTTTTGTGTATTTTCTTTTGTATATTGAATTGATTTGTGTGTGTGTGTCTGCCTGCCAGCCAGCCAACATTGAGGTTATATAAAGATTATTAGTTGAAATTGACATCAATATGTCGTCTGTTTCCTAGAATGCCACATGTCTTCCATCTGACAAATGTCGAGCTATTTGCCATTTGTCAATTTGTCCATTTGTTATTGCAAGCTTTATACTAATATTTACAATTGCTTAATATAAACTTCAAACGTTGGCCCAACACATCTAACATATCTAACAACAACAATCTTGTCTTGCAGTGTATAAACTATAGTGCAATAGTTAGAAATAACATTTTTTTTTTCAAAAATAAATATCGTGTAACGTATATTAAAAATAAATAAAATATACTCTAAATAAATCTTTATAAATACAAAAATAAGTTAAAAATCAAAAAGTACAATCAATAGGTGCAATAAAATTCATTAAAAAAAAATATATATATATATTTATATGCGTATATATATCGCCGCTGTGTTCATTGTTTTGTTAAAAATATTAAACAATTTGAAATCAGAACCAAATAATTAATTGCAATAAATAAAGAAAACAACAAAAGTGTGCAATTTATAAACATATTAAAAAAAAAAAGAAGAAAATGCAATAACTTAAATGCATAAATATTTAAACAACTCGACAACTACACATTTATCAACGTTGGATTTCTTAGAAACAACGATAATTAAAGTTAAATACTTTAACAATTATCAACAAATATTCCGTGACTTTTTTTGCGACTAATTGTAAGTATTTGAATAAATCGACGTTTAATAACAAATCTAAAAACTGGTTTGCGTTTGCTGCTCTTACTACACTTCAAGAAAATAGTGGAAAGAAAAAACTGAAATATATTTAAGGAGAAATAATTAAATAAAATATTTAGTATATTTGTAGGTAAAATGCTTAGTAATTAGATACACATATTTAATTGATCATTTTTGTAAGGTTTAAGTTGTGCCTTTGTTTAGACATGCCAATAAATATATATATGGAAATAATTGAGCTTAATTGAACTTTAGTTGTTGGCTGTGTTAAATGCTCATCGTATATAATTATAACTATAAAGTTTGCATGATGCGACAAAATCTGCGCTCAATATGTCCATCAAATGAATTCGGTGTCGCCTCCGCTGCTTGTGCCCCCCCGCCTAACCCAACCCATTGATTGATGCGCTCACATTAGTTGTACAGGCTTTTGTGTAAAGTTTTATCTGCTCTTAGATTTATACACACACACACACTCGTACACACACTTGTGTAGTTACAGCTTGCTCGTCAAATTGATTGTTTTTGCTGATGATAGTAACAAAGAACATGCAATTTAATAATTATTAGTTTTATGGTCTGGTTGAGACGATTTCAGTACATTCCTATATATACACAAACATATACAAAATATTCATATATAAATATTTACCGTACGTATTTTGTATATTTATGTATATATATTTTCCATGGGCGTTTCGATTTTTCATACATATTTGCTCTGGTCTGCACTTGACTTCAGCGAGCATTTGTAGCTGATATTTGACTGGATCGTTCAACCGGTGCATTCCAGTCCGCAATGAACGCCTCAATAGACCATGTGCTTATTGTTCTCTCACTCTCTCCCCCTCTCTGTCTCTCTCTCTCTCTATCTCTCTTTGTCTATCACTCTGTGTGTCTCTGTTTCGGTTTCTGCGGTCTGCGCGTTTTTCGTGTCAGTGTCTAAGGTCAGTGAACCCCAAACCAATTCACAACCGAAACAACTACAACTGCAAAGCGCAGACAACAGAAAGTTGCGTGTTTGCTTAGGCTCGAAATCCAAAAGAAATTACACAGCGCAAAAGCGACACGTTTTTCGATTCGGTCGAGATGACGATGATGTTGTTGTTATTATTTTTGTTGTTGTTGTTGTTGGGAACGTTGCGGTTATTGACTTTCCCTTCTGCCTTAGCCACTTCAATCATTATCATCGTCATCATCATCATGTGTGTGTGTGTGTGTCTGCGTATTGTTTGGTTGTTTGCGTTTCTTTGCTTTTTGGTACATTTTATGTTCGGCATGTGTAAAAAAAAAAACTGAGAAGAAATAATTGAATATAAACAAATTCTGCTTTAAAGCTGCAAACGACAAAAGAATTAACACATCTCCATGCGTGACTTAGACGGGGGTGTCCAAAAAGGTATATACCCCGTACACAGCCAATCGTGGGTCAGCACACTCACTAATCAATCAGTCAATCAGTCAATCGGGACAAACTGTTTTATATTTCTTACCATCAACATACTTTTGTGTGTAGTGTGTAAATTTATTTTGGAAGTATAAATTATTTATTTTCAAATTCCAATTGGGATTTAGTAGTTATGGATGAATTTAAACTGTTGAAGATCAGTAACCCTTACAAGCAACACTCAAAGTTGCCGCTCAGCAGCTGGGATTTGTGGTATGCACGTAATATGAAACAGATCAAACGGTTGGCCAGCGAACTGAACAAACCGACCCGTGAAATCACTGAACTGATCTATAATCTCACGCTGCAGAAATTCAATCGCCTCCTGAATCCCCGAGGCATGCGCTGGAACAATTGTCGTGTGCCATTCGCCTGCCCAGCTGTCTGTGATCGGTATGTGGACATCTTTGACTTGGATGGCAATGTGCGTGATCCAGCGAATCCCTGGAATCTGTCTAAGCTGCTGAAGCTAATGCAGGCCATTCTCAAATTGACCGATGTCAATCGAATCAATGAACCAACTAACAATGCAATTCGTGCGGATTTGTGTAGAAGCAAGAAACGGGATGGGGGGCATATGAAAATCGAACGATCCCTGAAGGTGGCAAGCGAACAAATGCCTAATTCGTCTGCCGCTAGGCGGCTAAAGGCGTCGAAGAAGGAAGAAGACAGTAAAGAGGAACATGTACTCGATGCAGAAATCCCAACCAACGGATCTCCACTGAATGCCTCTTCACGAGTTGCAACGCCACTGAATGCCACCTCACATGGTGCATATCCAATGCGTGTATTTGGCGAACGGGCGCATCGACTTCTGGCAAGCGATTTGCTGTTGACCGATAGAAAGGGACGCCGGCATGGCCATGGCAGCCCACAGTTGGATAACTTGCGCTCGGAGCAGCACCGGATTCTAAATGAAATATTCAGAAACCTGAGTCGCATGGATCCCGAACGATTTCTAGAAGCCTTGACCGGCGCAGACCTAACCGAGGAGGATGCCAAATTGATGAAGGGCGAAAAGGTGAATGTGAGCGTCAAAGATGTATCCGCCTTCTACACGAAAGTTGTGGCCGGTTCAGACAAAATTGAGCAACTCAAGGAGGCCAAGCAAACAGGTCGGCCAATTAGAGAACGTAGATATTTTGGTGAACCGCTACCCGTAGTTTTTCATGCGCCATACGATCCCAACAACCAAGCGACTTGGCTGCGTCGTCATCCGGATCAACTGCGCCTGCAGCCGGACGGTCGACTGGGCATGTCTTCTGTGCAACACTACAGACGCGACTCTGTGCTGAAAGCATTGAAAATCGCCAGCGAAAGATATTCGATTCACAGTCTAAATAACCTGAAAGTGGAAAGGACGAGAACGGCACTCCAACATAAGTCGGAGTACCAACGTGTCTTCCGTCCGTCCAGCGGCAGGCATCCGAAAAAGTTAAAATCAGAACATTGAAGCGATTTCTAGTACTCCTTGCTTTCTAGCATTCAAATTGAAATTCCTATCATCAAAAAAAACAAAAACAAAAAAATGACTCAAATTTTAACGTAAACTTTGGTTTTAAATTTATTTATTTTTATTGATTTATTTATTATAAATGTACTGCGCAACGCGCTGCTGTCCGCCGAACAGCTTAACGCTTCGACTGCTAAACTGTGAGAAGCCGACGGAAACCATCCGCAAATGTCGTCGACGACATTCACAATGGCAATCGGCGGAGAGGCGCTGGTGTCTGAATAATAACGTCATGCTGAGGCGGCTCTCGAGCCATGTGCAACAGCCACTGATCGAGGTGTGCACCTTTCTATTCCAGCTGACACTGGCGAAGTTCGGACAGATCCTCAATCCCCGATGCTCCCAATGGAGCTATTACCGTGTACCGTTTGTTCGGCCAGACACGTGTGCCATCTACGATGGCATCTTCGACAATCGCGGCAATCTGCGCAATCCTTTACATCCGTTTATTGAGTACCTGGTGTTGATCATATTGGATCATTACTTGAGTCTGCCGTGCGAGAAAGTTGAGGGGCGTCGGAATACGGCAGTAGATACCATTTATGGACGAGGCGGTGGTGCGTGCAAGGATGTTTTTAAGGATGCTTTGAGGGGCCAGGCGGACAGTTTACGTCATTTTTTTAACAACTCTAAATTTGGCTTTGGTGGTTTAAGTGGCTCAAATGGCGATGCCGATGCCGATGCCCATGCTGATGGCAGTGGTGATGGTGATGGCAAAGATGATGTTGATGGAGAAAATAAATACGATGACGGTGATGATGATGATCATGAAAATGGCAATGGAAGGGATAGTTCAAATAGATTATATAATAAATATGGAGATGTTAAAGATGGAGGCGTCAAAAGGAAGAGTGAAAAAGGTGGCAAGGGTGGTGGAAAAGGAAAACGAAGGAAAGGAAGTAAAGGCAGTAAAGGAAGTAAAGGAGATGATGATGCAAACAAGCGTAAGAAGAACATAAAGGACATTTCCAACTTGTACTCGGATGTTGTGGAAGAAAGGTACACCATCGATCTGCCAACGCTTTACGCCAAGAAGAAGGCCAAGAAGCGAGTTAAAGTTAAAAAGCGAGGCGGTGGCGACCAGAAGGTGATAGGCGTGGCCATACCCGTTTTGGTGCACGAGCCATTTGATGAGCAAAAACCATGGACCTGGATCCGACGACATCCGGCCCAGACCCGTGTGCTCGAAGGCACGCGTCTGGGGCGCGCCAAGGTGCGTCGCTATCAGCGCGAAACCCTCAAAGCACAAGTCCACGAAGCAAAGAGACACCAATCGGTCCAAAGTGTATATTCGGCAAAAAGCGTCCATTCGGTGGCATCCGGCGACATGTTTGGACATCCAAATCCAACCAAAAAGGGCACACCACAGGTTAAATCATTCAACTACGCTCGGATAAAGGAAGTATTGAGAAATACTATCTCGGCACGTCTTACCACGATACGTAAACCAAAACCCCAAAAGCGATAGTGAAATACCAACGGGACCAACAAATTTGTATAATGCTGTGAAATGATCACAACTCAATTCTCATTCGCTTACGTATTTTTTACACAATTTGACCAGTTTTACATTAAGAAGACTTTTAATGTCAATTTTTTTATTAGGCGACTTTCCTCAAGGCCCTAACGAAACGCGAAGCGAAGAGAACACTTTAGACTTAATATTATTAATATTAGATATTATACCAAACGCATGCAACGAAATAAAATTGCTTAAGTACATTAATCTGCACAGCGAATTACAATTCTATCTTGAAGCCAGGAAAGCTAGTCAGATGAGTATAGCATATAGCTACATATACAGCAACAATCGATCGAAAGAAATGTTTTTTTTTGTATGAACAACTTATCTGTTTTCCACCTGTAATAACTCGCTTACAATCTGGCAATCGAGCAAACTATATATAAGCTCTATAGAATTAACTACTCTGCTCGACACTGGTTTATTGGTATGCCAGCAAACAGACTGACAACCATCTGACGACCATCTGCAGATGCTGTCGTGACGAAGGAGAAACGCAATCGATTCAACACTTCCTAAACCAATTTCCATTCTACTCTCGAATATAAAAACTGTAAATTATGAGGTATCATTTAAAAAAAATAAACACAATTGGCTAATTTCAGCCATGCCACGGGATAAATTACACGTATCTCCCAAGTGGATCGGGGAAGCGCGGATTTTTCCTACTTGTTTTTTTTGTTTTTATTTAAATGTCGGCAATTAACGTGCCTCAATTAATCGTTCTTTCCTGATTTTGAATATGCTTTTTTTGAGTTGTGCAGCTGCTGCAAAAGCTCAATTTGGTGTTCTTTTGATGAGCGCTAAATAATTTGAGTTTAAAGGGCGCTTGGCATTGTACAGAAAAATGCCAAAACACACAAGTTGACCAAAGTTTGTGGCAGTGAGTCTCTCTCTCTCTCTCGGCAGCCAAGACTTATGCGAACACATGTGTCCTGTCTCCTCGATGACACTTTAACTTTGTTACGAAATTTGTATATATATATTATTGAATATATGTATTTCCAATATATATTTGCTTTTTGCTTTAGCTGCTACTTCGTTTAGTGTTTGCGAGGGATTTTATCTATCAATTGCAAAGATTTTAGCATAGCGCAAATGTTTCGATGAGTCGAAGTTGTCGTTTTATGCTCATTTGCTTCGACCGCGACGATTGCCAAAAAAGCAAGGCTGTTTGTCCATCTTTACGAGTTGTATGTTGTTCTCCATAACCCCCTCAGTCCCTCTATCTCTCTCTCTCTCTGTGTCTAGTTGTGTGTGTGTGTGAATCCAAATCTACTTAAATCGATAAAAACTATCAAATCTGTTCGGGGCGTTTATGCCGCCGCTGACTGCCTGCTGAATCAGATCCCGTTTGCCGTCTGCCGTCTGCCGTTTGCCTCTTTTCGTCACTCATACGAGATGTGCGCCCGATGATGCGCCACCAATCGGCTCCATTTGCCTGTGCTTGGTCTTCGTCTTGGTCGCCACTCATTTTTCGTCCATGTTGCGTATGCTGTCAAATCTCATCCGCTAGAGCCTTCCATGCTGCTGGCATCTTTTTTTTTTTTTTGTTGGTCTTTTTTGTCCTTTTTTTTTTTGCTTTCTTGGCAACAGCTACCCAAAAAAAAAAAAAATGTTTGTAGTCATTGTTGTTGCCATGTCCGTTCTGGCACCAACTTGGCCCAGGCCTTCTCTTCGCTTAGGATGTGACTCTGTTAAGGGAGTGCGGAATGGGTGCGGAATGGAGTGGTGCGTTAGGCAGGAACAACTACAGCAGTTCCGTTCTTTTTCTTCTACTGTTGTCATGCCGACAATACATACTCATATATACATATATATATATATATATATATATATATATATGTGTGTGTGTGAATGCGCATAAGGGCGCCGCCATTAAAGCGTCCCCAAAATGGTATGCGAAAAATGAACAGCCAGCCATATTTTGTCTACTGACCAGCCCATCTCGCCATACTTGAATGTTTAACTACATAAATACATATGATTAATTGTGATAAGTATAACAAAAGCAAAGAAACAAAAAAAAAAAACAAAAAAACATGAAACAGTTTTACTCAACGTTAATGCACTCGTCTTTCTATGTCGCTATTTATACAAATATCACGCACTTCTAATGTCATTTTTATATGTTTTGCGTGTTCAGATTTCACAATGAGCCGAAACTGAAAATAAAACACAAAATGATTCCTTCCCAGTTCTCAGTTGTATGTAATTATGCAAGAGTGTCACTTAAATCGTTAGTAATATATAATCAACTCGTTAACAGCCATTTGCACAAGTATGAACTCCCCTCCTTCCCTACTCATTATAAATATATATATAGATATATATACTTGGTATAGTTTTTTATCGTTTTAACTAATTGTCAAGTAGTTAGCCTAGTACTTATATTAATCAAGTTTTTATAGTCTTGAGTGTGATAAACAACATTTGAGATTTTATGTTATGAAAACTTGGTTATATCGGTTTTAGTTTGGTTTTTCATAATGATTTGTTTGGGTCACGATTCGAATTCAGGGGCTTAATTCATTTTTAATTGCACTCAGGCAGGCAAATAAAATTACATCTTATCATTTTACATGCACACACACACACACTTTGATCGTATTTATACTTTTATACACTGTTCTCAAAATAAACAGGGAAGTCATATTTACATATTTAATTTGTGTGAAAAAGTGTTCAACTTCCATATTTGTTGCTGGCTTATTTAAAAGTCAAACTGCCAAAGCTTAAACGCTTAAACCTAAGCCAAACAATTAGTTGTCTAATTTGGAAAACCCAATTTTTCATCAAATATGAGAGATGAGCACTTGTTTATTCCGCTACTTAGCTCTAACTTTTTTTTGTATATGTTTATTTACTAATGACTAATTTCAGTCGACACCAAAGTAAACAAAATACCAAAAAAAAAAAAAAATACATTCAAAAAAATATAAATATGGCAAAATTGGATATAATTTTAAGATTTCTTGGGGCTGTTTAATTGCAAAATGGAAAATGGAAAATGGAAAAAACCAATCAGACCAAAAGAAAAAATATATTTAGTATGAATTAGCTAAGATGCCCAGCTGCAAATGCATAGCGATAAAGGACTCTGCGTTGATTACACCTTAAAGGATATTGTAATCGTTGCAGATTACACGAAATGACTTATGAAGGTAACAATTAGTAGTACAACGTTTAAGAGAAAGGTCTAGAGAAAATTGTACTTTCGGAAAGTTAAAACGAAACGAAAACTATTTGTGGCAAGCCTATTTTCGCAATCCATTAATCAATCAAGCCACCTTTCTCAATTGTTTGCAGGGAACAGAGTATCGCGCATTCGTTAGTTGTTGGCTGGCTGGTTGGCTGGGTGGCAAGCAAATTGCTTGTTCTTTTTTTTCTTTCACTCGAACAAAGTACCACTGCAAATTGTAATAAAATAGCGTAATTAAAATTTCTGCCAATTAGCGGTGCCTGCGGTCCGCTTACAAATGCCGCCGCCCCCCCTCCTTTTTTTCTATACACACGAAACCCAAACGCAAAGGGTGTGCTGCGAAGAGGAATGCGAACAAAAAAAAAAAAAGAAAAAAATAATAATTATTATTAAAAAACTCAGCTGCAACAGCAGCAGCAGCACTAGCAACAGCAACAGCAGTACACGCCCCTGTCATTATCAGAATCGTGGCAGCAGTTTGAAACAATAAAAAACAAATATGTACAAAATCATATAGCACAGCTCGAGTTATTTGAGTATCCCTAGCAATGCGTATAACTTATTTTGAAGGCATTATTATGCTTCGTCAATTGAGTTGATCTATTAAAAGTAGTTTTTTTTTATGACCGTCAAGCAACGTTATTCAGTTGTTGGCATTCAGATTACTTTATGGTGCAGTTGCCATATGAACGCAATAGTATTAAATCTTGCTTAACCCTTAAAAGTATCCTTTCTTTTTATTTGCTACTATGTGTGTGTGCGTGTGTGTGTGTGTGTGTGTGTGTGCGTGTGTGTGTGTGCGTGTGTGTGCATTTGCATCATGATTACTGCATTTATGAGCTAAGTTTTTTACTGTCAACAGCAATTAAATTACATTTTGGACTTTATAGCCTCGCCACAGTGGCTTTGCTAACATATCTTTCTATCTGCATAAATAGATACACATATGTTCTTATTGTTGCCTCCAACACCAAACTTCAATAAATTCTAATAATTTATATTGTTGCCAGAGTTACCAGAGGGCAAACTGCTTAAATCGTATGCATTGGCAAATGTTTTGTTACAACAGATAACAGAATTCTGATTCGGGTACGTAAAGTATAAAAATTTCGGTATTCCTGCAAACTTTTTTACGGTATTCACTTACGTATTGGAACATTGATTTTTACGGTACGCTACTGCAATGGTACCGCTTCGAAATGGTCCAATATAAAAGTTTGAAAAACTTAATGAGCAATGTTCCAGTCGGCACTGACTGACTCTGGCAAACTGTAATTTGAGCGAAAATATTATCAAAATCGAACAAATACATATACATATATGTACAGGTGCTCTAATTTCTGCAAGGATATTTATTGTTAAACCCTGACCCAATTAAAAATGGGTAAAAAGCATATAATGAAGTCGAAGAAGTTATAACCATGGGAAAGAACAGCCTTAGGATACTTACCGGTCTATTGACAGGACACTGTAGACTAAGAAGTCACCTAACTAAGCTAGGTATATATATTAACGATCTGTGCAGGTTTTGTGAAAGAGAGGAGGAATCCTCGATGCACATCCTAGCAGAATGTGTCACCTTAACTAGCAGAAGACGCAGCATCCTGCATGTGGTGCATGTTTTGAATTTTAGAGACATAAAATACCTCAACCCAACAAAGATCCTCACATTGATGCGGGAGCTGGGGCTGATGGAAGAACCATAGGCTCAGAAAGGGGCACAATAGATCAAATAGGTCGCGCCCCAATAATAATAATAATATAATGAAGCTGTGCACAAATGTGCAAAGGACATCTGAGTCCATCTATCTATTCCATGAGAATTGGAAATTTAAAAGCGAAATAATATTAGTTTCGGTATTTGTTTGGGTTTTGAATCTGGATCCGAGTGTGAAATTGGTAAAAATACGGTTCCGTTTTCGACTTGACAACCAGCTTACAATAAATGGCTCAGAGACTCGTTGTTTGTGCTGGCTGGAGTTGTAAAAGTAAAGCTTGGCTTATTTGGCATTTGACATGCATTATTTGCTGAAAGTACAATTGTACTTTCGACGGCAAATTGATTTTGTGTTAATGGGCAGTGAAGACCAGCAATGCCAGCAATAAATAAATATAAATTGGCGCATTTTCACTTTCACACTTTGCATGCATTATTTTGGTGCATGCAAACACATTGTTAGACAATCAATTGAAGCGATTTGCATCTGTATATGTACATTTTGAGTGCACAATGTAGATTGTATGTACATTTGTTTACATATGAGAAACAATTACTGCAATGCAAAGTTTATGCAATCGCTGTAATTAGCCTATCCACAGACAATTTCTGCATTGTTATCTGCCAAAAGCTAGATTATGCAAGCGACTCCCGGCGGCGAATTGAACTTTTTTCTCTTTTTTTTTTTATGGTACAATTTTTTAACAATAACCAGAAATGCCAGACCCGATATCCATATACACATATGCATAAGTTGCTCTCAGGCGAGCTAGTTTTGCAGCTTGGGCTCATTTTCTGAAGATGTCGTTTTCTTTTCTTTGCTTTTTTTTTTTTTTTTTTGGTTGTTTTTCCACAAAAGCCACCAAAAAAATAATGAAGAAAAAATGCAGGAACAGCAACAGCAACTTAAATCGCATATTGAATAATGCGGCAATGGTTTCTTATGCAATTAACTTGATTGGTGAATGTGGCAATAATTTGCATGCAACTGACTAACTGACTGAATGACTGAGTAACGACAACGACGACGACGACAACTTATCTCGTTGGCAGTGTGAAACCACAAATTATTGATCAGTAAGCAGAGTGCAGCCAAAGGTAGGCGGGGGGAGAGATTAACCCAAAAACCATTTGGACGTAACGGTATAACTACACACACACACAACGAAATACACACATTAGAATTGAAAATGTGGCTGCACCCTCGCTGGCGTGGCCAAGTGAAACGAGCACATTGACAGTGCCACAAGAAATGCACACCTTTTTCACCTCGTCACCGTCGTCGTCATCGTCATCGTCGTCATCGTGTTCGTCATCGTCATCGCCATCGTTGTCGTAAAGAAAGCTGCTAAATGTACGCCACATTGTGTGGCATTGGATGCACTTGCCGCTCTTCAGTCGACTGTGTTTTCTTATCGCTTAAGTCAGCGCTTATTCATGTCTTGCACGTTGGCTCTCACTAACTTGGCCAACATGTCTATTAACGGTAACAAGGTAAATGTTAGAAATTGCCGTTAGAAAATTGCCTCTATTGTAGTTGCGTTTGCGGTTGTTGCTGTTGTTGTTGCTGTTGTTGTGTTGCTGCTGCCGTTTGTGGCTAGCACACAAAGTAAGCCATCTTCAAAGTCGAAGCAAACAAAAATCGAAATGTTAGAAAAGAAATCAACACGCGTCTTTATATACCCTGAACTCATTCAAAATGGTTAGGAAGGGTATAATGGATTTGTGTTGAAGCATGTAGCAGGCTGAAGGCAGAAGGAAGCAGCTCCGAGCTGCCAACTCGAGATAGACCCGATTTTAAGGAGATAAGAATTAAGAACCGCTTACATTTAAGTGGCAAATCTGGCATATAAAAGTCGAATATATTAACATTATAGTCGAGCTAACTCGACTACAACATTCTTATTCAATTGCATTGCTTCTTTGAGCCGTTTTCACAAGTTCTTGGCAAGCTTGCTTTACAGATTAGTTTGATTTAGTTATCTCCTTGGCAGAAGTTGTCAATTACATGTTGCAATAGACATCACTTGTCAATGCTTTCTTGCTTCCTATGAAATTTGTAATAGATATAGATATCGATATAGAATAACTTAACTGTTTAACAGCCAGCTAAATAGACGCTGCTTGCATCAGTGTCGAGCAGATGTCGGAGTTGAGTCATAGATAAAGTTATCACCGTTTGACGACAAACAAATGGTCTCGTCAAGGGGCTCAAGGTGTCGCAAATGCGTTACCGTTAAGAGGAGACATCGTAGCAGGTTGTGGGAGAATCTGCTTGTTTCGAGACTAACACTCATCGCTCACCCACTTAATGGTCGGTCTAGACAATTGTGACACAAATGCGAATGGGGTTTAGAAAGTGGTATCTTCCAGAAAAATAAGAAAAAAAGAAGGAAAAAAAACTGTCTCGACATTTAATACAAAACAAGAAGAACTGAAACAAAAGGCAATTGCTAAGCTGCGTAAATTTCCGCGTGATGTTTTCAACAACGACGCGTCAACGTTGCCATCATTGCTGACAGTGCGTGTTGTGTCATTGTCTGGGGACGTGGGTGTGCAGGTGTAAAAGGTGTGCACATGTAAAAGGTGTGCACATGTAAAAGGTGTGCACATGTAAAAGGTGTGCAGGTGTGAGCTACTTGAGACAGTTGTGAGAGCACATATTGAGACAGGTGGAAGCAGTCTTAGACTCAACGCTGTTGTCTGCTTCATGTTGAAGCTTTTACTGTGCAGCAGACGCACTATATAAATTACATGCGATTAAGCATACGACCTGTGTGTGCAAAATGAATACCTAATGCAAGTACAGGCTATTAATTGAATCCCTAAGGGCCATATGCTTACCCATAACAAGGCCATTACGAATGGCAACAACAACAACAAATAAAACCATAACCACCAAATACCAGCTGCATAATAATCTAATGAAAAACATCAAGCAGCTTAAACAACCTCTTAAATTCATCAAGTTTCGCCATAGTTAAAACCAAAAAGACAATGGCCCAAACGCCGGAAAAAAAAACTCTCAAATTACTTTATGCTAGAGTAAGCCAAAATAAAAACGAAACGGCTGCTTTAAATGAGTATAGCAAATTTTACGCAACTGGCATTAGAAGGCATTTCCTCCGACTATTTAAGTTAGACCAGTGATTAATGGCGTTAATAGCCGAGTCGGGCTAGAAATGAATTCCTTCAAGATCAGACCTTGCAGATTGTTTTATAATCTTGTCTGCAAATATTTCTTAAGATTGCTGAAATGTTTCAACTTTAAACAAACGATATTTTCGTTTTAAATTATAAATTAAATATATTAAATCGACGACGTCTCATAAGATAAACCCATCAATGAGTTTATTGGCATGGTGAAACCCTCAAAAGAAAAAGCGTGATTCATCCTGCAATTAATTAGCTTTAATCATCCAGTTGATGAGTGCATTTATGCGATGTAGTCGCAAACCGGAGCAGCAAACGCAAACCCAGTTCGACAGTGTAACTTTGCCAGCAGTTATTAATTAATGGCAAATCACGCTTGCCGTCTTCTTTCCATGTCTTTTGTTTTGTTTTGCAGATAAAAGCTTGCAGCATAGAACCATACAGCATGCCAAGCAGGCTGATAAGCATGTGCTAAGCAAACTGACTCCCTCAACTGCTGTCATTTTGTCGAATACCAGGAAGGTGCTGAGAGAGATACGGTTGCAGATACCAAGGCCTTTAGCATGGTGCGACTTAATGTTGCCGAGCAGCAGAGTACCGTCAGCAGCAACAGCAATAGCAACAGTAGCAACAACAACATTAACAACAACGGAGGCAACAGCAGCAACAGCCACAACACTGAGAGCAGCAACAATGCGGGCAGCTGCTCATCGACAACATCGTCGACGACGAGCTTGAATAGCCTGAATGCCAACTCTGCCTCGCCCGCCTGCAACATTGTAATGTTGCAAAATAATACACCGGTGCCGGCAGCCTCGCAGTGGCAACAGCAGCAGCAGCAGCAACAGCATCAACAGCCGCAGCTTCAGCCTCAGCAGCTGCAACAGCACACGCCCTTGGATGGCGCCTCGTTGCCAGCATCGCCGCCACTGTTGCAGCAAACAGCGACACCGCCACAGGGTGCCCAAATTGTGCCACCCGTGTGTGCGCTACATCATCCGCAGCAGCAGTTAACGCTGTTAGCGGCCATGCAGCATCACCATCATCATATGTTGCAGCCACCAAACAACCATGGCCTGCACCATGGCCCAAACCCACCAGCAGCAACACAAGCCGCACTACCACCACAACAGCAGCAGCAGCAGCAGCAGACTTCTCAACCGCATGAGAATGGACACGGTGGCATCTCACCCAACGGCAGCTCGGGTGGTGGCTCCTCGGCGAGCAGTGTGAGCAGCGTGTCAAGCAACAGCGGTGGCGGTCTTAGTGGTGGCAGCCACGGAAATAACTCGAGCAACGGCACCAATGGCATCGGGCCACCAGTGAATGCCCCGCTGCCGCCGCCGGGACCACTCTATATACAGTATCCCGGCGAGTATTTTCCATCGGAATACTATATAGCACCGCACCCGCACGAGGGTATCTGTCCACAGCATCCGCATCATCCGCACGCGCATCAGCATCATCATCAGCCCATGTGCGCCATCTCGGCGGAATATGGTGAGTTTATCCCGATAGCAAAACTCCCCCCTCAATCCCCCCCTCACCAGAGAATGCTGATCTGGGCTGCCAATCACACAGCCAGAGCCACACAGCACAGAGCTCTAATCCCCGCCTAAGCGCCAATCAACATCTCAACTTGTCACGCAAACTTTACCTAAGCCGTTGCAGGATGTGTGTTGACGTCACATTCCACGGATTAGGCACTAACACTCGAGGCTGTTCTTGGGCTGGCTCTATGTCTTCGAATGTCTCGAATGACTTTGAATAGCAATCAACCAACAGCGATGATTGCAAATATTTATTTAACAATTCAATTACACAACTGATTCAACCATTTTACTATCTCTCTCTCTCACTGTCTGTCTCTCTCTCTCGATGCAATATAATTGCTAGAATACAGAATCAACTTGCATAGTTTAATTTGCGTAAAATTAGCTGACTAGTCTAAATGAATTAAATTCTAAAGTTTGCTTAGGCATTTACAAGCGCAAATAAAGCGATTTCGTATAACAAAAGAAACAACAACAATTTCTACGGAAATATGAGAACCGGCTCTGAACATGACTCGAGCGAAACGCCCACACACCCAGCCCATGAATGTTGTTGTGGCACACGAGTTGAGTTGCCAGCGCGGCAAGATTAATTTAACTAGAATGGCAAAAGGGTGTTGGTTTTCAGCCCATCTGTTTCCGATTCGCATAAAAACTCATTTTTAGATATGTTTCGCTTCTTCTTTTATTGGCATAACAATTTCTGGTAGACCATAAAAAAAAATCCCAATTAAAACAATGAACTACACTCGGAAAAAAGTCACTCTGAATTTTCGCAGCTTGCACAAAATGAAAACTAGAAAAATGTTCATGTTTTAAGAAATAACATTAAAAAAATTTGTTTTTATGAATAAATGAATTATGAATTAAAAATGTTCTAGTCTTCAAAACTAAATTCTAAATATACAAAAAAAATGTCTTTAAATTATCTTTTTCTGTTTGTTTTTACAGAAATATATTTCTGAAATTGATGAATTAGTAATTGTTTCCCATACTCGGGAATTAAATTAATAACATTTAATTCTAAAAAGATATTCTTTGACGCAAAAATAATGGGGATTTGTTTTGCCGAGTGTTGAAATAAGACCAGGTCACCCTGTTTATACAGATATATGTGGCGACATACATATGGCTTATCTATGTAAATAGCAAACTTACCAAATACCCATACAAGGCACATTCTCAATTGGAGTGGAGTCCGCATTAACATGCCACTATCAACACCCACATGCTGCATACCGTTGCGTTGTTTAACTAGAGCTGGCTATCGCCGAGCCCAAAACAGAAACTATTTATTTATATTTATATTTTTATTTTTATTTTTTTGCCAGCATCACAAACAAAGATTTCAGAGTGTTATGCGAAAATAGAAGCTGCTTTTCGGATCGCAAAAGGGAAGGCGAGCCACAGCAATGGTAATGGAGCTGAGGGAGTGTTGAGCGTTGAGAGTTGAGTTGAATTTAATCAAGTTTTGACGCAACCTAGAAACCCCAATAGCCATCATTATTAATTTATCAGTGTCATTAACCTTAATTGGGTTGCGTCTGGAGGCGGTTGCTGCAACCCGTTGATAGAAACTGACTGTGAATCTTTTGAGTACGCTGCGAGTTCGAGCATCTTGTCTGTGCATCTACTTACAGAATGCCAAAATAATAATGAACACGAGCAACTTGATATTGTTTTGCAAGTTGACTAATTAAGTCCAATTCCCAGTGACACACGTGGCAACTTGTTTGTGTTTGTGTTTGTGGCTATGTGTTTCTTTTGCCTGACAGCACTAATTGAATTTGCATGTGGCTGAGTTTGATCTTCCACTTCCTATGCCACTGCCACTTCCTGCTGCCACACTGTGGCATCCCATGCATGACTCCCAAACTTGTCCGGGTTAAGAAAGCGAGTTGAAAGCTGGCTGCCAAGCAACAGCTACACGCAGAAAAATATTCTATGCATAAATATTTTTATTTCTTTACAATCTGTCAGCGGACAATCAGAATGTTTAATGATGAGTCAACTAATAAACTACAAATTTAAATGTTAATTAATTGATTTGATACAATAATCAAAAAATATGTGGCAGCTCTAAAATATGATATTTTTCAAGGCATCTAAGTCAAATTAATTAATTGCCCGGATGTTTTCATGGATAGAAAGGTACTTTTAAGTCTGTGTTGATTTCAAGGAATCTATTAATAAATTTATAAAATTTATGTTTCTTTTGGCTGCCAAGGCAGATCAATATAATGAGACAGTCTTACGCAAAATATGTATAGAAAGTAGCAATAAAATTGCCTGAATTTGTTAACCAAAAATACTCCAATAGATAAGTTAATGTTAAGCGTATTTGTATTTGTGTATATGATTTTCTCACAGTGTACGCATGTGCTTTTGCTCCAGTTAGTAATTTGCAATTACAAGCATGTAAATGGTGCCTGGCTCCTGTTTTTGCCCTGCCCCTGCTCCTACCCCTGCCCCTGATCGTTACCAAATGAAAGAGGATGACCCAACACCCAACACAACTGGCTGTCTCCTGCTATGTTCTTCACTCCCACTTTTCCCAGCCCTGATTGTAGTTAATCGAATAAACTTACAGAGGAAATGGCATTAAATGCGTGTTGGGCCCTCGGCCTCTAATGGAATTTGCTCCCGGGGCGGTCCAACGACGCTGTCGGAGCTACTACTACTACTACTCCTATATTGATATGGCTGCCAAGCATGTTATAATTATAAGAATGCTGAGTGTACACTTGTTGCCTCACCCCCCCACCAACCCAATTGCCTAACCATCAACATGCGACCTCGTTTGGTGAGTGCGAAATTGAGGAGCATTTCTCTTGTATAGCTCAGCAGTCACTAAGTTTTTAGCGTGTTAATTGTTGTTGTTGTCCCGGGCTCTAACTAAGTTGAGTTGGCATAGTTTAGAACTGGTCACAGCTTTAATTTATTAAGTGCACAAAATGAAGATTGTGTTTTCTGATGATGGGTAACTCAATTAACTCTAACTTAATTTTCAACTTTCAAATTCTTTATCACAGACAGAATTAAGAGTTTTCACAATGGGAACTCTTAAAAGAAATAGTATATAATAATGTATTTATTAAATTATTTCGGATTATGCAAGTCCAGTGCTTATGCTACTTTCTCTTCTACTACTACATTTACTACATTTATAGATGGTCTGCCATACATTTTATTTATTTGATAAATGAAACGAAATTGAACTTTGCAGCTCATCATATATTTGTTCAATGATTTGCTGCAGTGTCCAAAAGTTTTTGTTGTTGCAAGCGGGGCCAGGGCCGAAGTTCAGTCGTACAATGAACTTGTCACACTTCCACTCCATTTCGAACATGACATGGCCCGGGTAGAGAGTCGGCAATCTGTAGTTAAGTCAACAACAGCAAACTAGAACAATAGCGACGACAGACTACATTAAGTGTAGTATTACAAGAGGAGACGGACCCACCCCTCTTTGACAAGATTCGAGAAGATGTTGCCGTTCGCAGCCATGGCCATAAATTATATTATACCATTATATGTTTCTTTTAAGTTCGCTCGTCTTTGCCTAATCTGTTTGGTAATAATTCTTAATTAACTCTCATAGGCAGCGGCGGCAAACACGACGGAACCCTCCCCCACTCACCCTGCTAAAGTTCCGCATCTTCTTAAAAAATTCAAGTATTTGTAGACGTTTCTCGGTACTTGTCGTCGGCTGTCGGCTTTTGTGTGGCGAGCATAATTATGCCGACCCTCTGCACTTCGACCTTTTGAAACGCATTGAACTATGCTTTAATCATTTTCATTTTGGAGGAGATTGAGAGGGGGCTTATCAGCCATCAACTGGGATACTTCTCGGCAAACAGTTTGCCCTAAAATTAAGAAATATATAAATATATACAATTTTTGAGTGTGTTGACGTAGACTTTGAATGTTCAATATTTGTATTTGTGCTTATTCAACATGTTTTCGTTGTCAGACTTGGGTTGACTTCAAAATTATTACTGTGTTTCAGTTTAAGATACACTTTTGTTCGCCTTTGCCACAGCGTTGCTCGCTTCATTTCACACTTTCTCATCACAAGCAATTTGGTGGCAAGTTGCAAGTTTCACAGCATACAAGGTCAATGCTCGGAGCAAGCCGCACCTGATGTAAACTGTGTCACACTAAACTTAAACACGCCAAGGGGGTGCAGAAATACAGAAATACAAAAGAATGCAACCAAAGATCTTTATATCTACATTGTGGAATCTCGATTTCCAAACTATATATATATATATATATATATATGTGTGTGTGTGTTTGTATCAACAATGGCTGGCCACACTCGGCTGGGTAAATACTTTCAGCTCGCTAACTGGTGCATTGCTCCATTTTGAGTTAACTGTTTGACGGTTACCAAGTCGATTGTTACTCGAGGAGCATATTCAGCAAATGCACAACGCTGCTGGCTATTTGTAGTAGTACTTGGCAACCTTTGGCGCTGATGTCATCATTGTTTAAGCCACAAGATCAAATGTCTATTTTAAATGTTAGAAATCAGGCGGCAGGCAGGCAGGCAGGCACAGGTATGTATGTACATGCCATATATGTATATGTATGTCATATACTCAGTGGAACAAGCGTCTTGCCTTTCCTGCCGGACCTCCCAGCCAACTGGAAAACTGGTTGTGTCCGCAACTTGTTCAGCTTTACGACTGTGCAGATTTATTGACTTGCCTATTTTATTGTTCATGCTCTTCGGACAGCTCTTTCTAATAACGCTCTTTTTTTTAAGTGTAAATACTTGTAAACAGAAACATATTTGAAGTTTGCCGAATTATGATGAGTGCTGGTTGTGAAAGACGAGTGGTTGAGTGACTTGAACTGATGCCAGCAGACAGCTACTTCTGCTGTTGCTGTTGCTGCTGTTGCTGTTGTTGCTGCTGCTGATGCTGCTGCCGTTGTATTCAAGTCTAGGCGACTTAAAGATAATTCCAGCTGTGAGTTCCGTGCTGCCAATTTCGCACTGCTAATGACAAGCACCAACATCGACACAGGCAAAAAGCTGTCATAGCCAAATGACAAATTGCTTGCCGTCAGCTGGTCGGTCGTCGCTCGTTGGTCGTTGGTCGTCGCCCGATGAGAGACCGGCTTGTCGGCGAGTAAAAAGAGGAATGCGTACACACAAAAGCGACAGGAACGTGTAAGCCTGCATAAATTGCTGCTGGCACAGTTTGTAGCTGACAGAAGTCGCAGCATTTAGAATGCTGCTGCAGTTGCCACAGCGTGCTCCCTGTGTGTTCAACAATGCCCAACTGCAATATACCCTGTACGCTCTCTCTATCACTCCCGCAATTAAATTCGTGTCTGGCATTTGTTCCCATATGGCAACATCTCCTGGGCAAAACGAAAAGTCAATTGGAGAAGCAAAGAAGAAGAAGAAGCAAGAAATCGAAGCGTGCTGCGCTCTTTCGTCTCCATCTCGCTCTCTCGCTCTTTCCAATGTTTAGACAACACAAAAAAAGAAAAGCAAAAAAAAAAACCAATTGCTCGAACGTGTACCGCAATTTGGAATAACTCTTTTTTTTCTTTTTTGTTGTTTTCGCTCATTGTTTGTTTGCTCATTTTTCGTGGAATTGATATTTGATTTTTGAAATCGCAAGCTGTTTTATATACAGTGTCTCGCAGTTCAACTGGAACAACGCCTAGCAAAATATTTAAAGTGCTATAAGGTTTAAACAAAACAATAAACGCAAAATGTTTAAATGCCAATTTGTTTTATGTTATATCACGTTTGAAAAGGAAGCTTCAGTTTTTATTAAAATATTAAATAATTAACTAAAATTAGTCAAAACTTAAAACTTATCCAAAATACATGTCAAAGTTTTTTTGGAACAGTCTTAGAAAATTAACTTATTAGGCGTATAAAAACTTAAATAAGGATCTTCATACTTAGTATGATACCCCTTAGCCTTAATAACCTCCCTTAACCTATTATTCATGGAAGGTACCAGTTTCCGGGTGGTTTCTGGACTGACTTTGCTCCACTCATCCAGCAGAGCATTTTTGAGATCGGATCTGTGATTCCTGATGTTATTTTCCAGCAGAGCCCACAAATTTTAAATAACATTTAAATCTGGAGACTGGGCCTGTGGAATTATCGTGTGGGGGCAGTTCCAGATATGCCAGGACTGTACTAATCCGGACTTATGCTTGGCTTTTGTCCTGGTCGTTGTCGTGGTAGAACCGGAAAGTACGTCGGATTCCTAGCTTCTTGGCACTTTGGAGTAAATTTTCCTTTAATATATTGAAATACACACTCTTGTCCATTGTTGTTTCAAAAAACACCAAATTCCCGACGCCGGCTGCCGAGATACATGCCCATACCATGACACTTCCTCCGTCGTGCTTGACTGTTGCCTTTAGGATTTTGGAACTCAGCTCAGTATTGGACTGTCGCCACACATAATTTTGTCCGTCTGAGCCAAAAATGTTGAATTTGGGCTAATCTTCAAATATGAATTTGTTCCAGTACTCCAAATCCTTGTCCAAGTGGGTTTTGACGAATGCCATCCTAGTCCCTTTATTTTTTGCGCTTATGAAGGGCTTATTCCGTGGTACTTGGGCATTAAAGTCATGGTTGCGCAGAACTCGGCGCACAGATTCCACACTGCACTTTTGCCCCATTTCATCCTCCATCTGTGGAGTCAGTTTTGGAGCCGATAGCTTGGCATTTTCCCTTATTTTCCTGATGATCCTCCGCTCCTCCTGTTCGGTGAAAATCTTGTTTGGTGCATTTCTGACCTTGTCCTGTATCCGATTTTCGTCGACGAAGCGCCGAATGATATTGAATACAGTTGTGGTACTCAGATTTACCATTTTAGCTATTTGGCGATATGAATATCCAATCCTGAAGTGTTCCAGGATCAGTTTCCGTTGTTCAATGGTAGTCCGCTTGCCCATAGTCCTTGTTGGCTGGTTGCACTCGAGATGCAGGATATAACTAATCTGACTACGAAGGATTGGTCTATTTATACCAAAAATAATCAACCTAACGTAAAAAATCAGGGTTTTATGGCACCCAGGTGTCCATAACGCCATTGTTCCAAATAATATGTGACCACAAATTAAGGTACTTTTTTACATAACCCGGCCTAGCCGGTGGGAAAACCCCAGTTTATGGGGGTCATATAGTCATTTAGGTAGTCAATATATGTACCTGCCATCGGTCTTTGGAATTTTTGAAAAATATTGAATAATTCGTTTATGGCAGGCAATTAACTTTTTTGCTAGGCGCTGTTCCAGTTTAACTGCGAGACACTGTATGTATATATATAAAGGAATTGCATACATGCATAGTTTGAATACGTGTGTTGTTCAACTAACTTATTTTTGCACTAAAATTACCACAAAAGTCTCGAGTTAATAGCACATCTTTTTTTGTTGTTTCTATTTTCTTGCGAGACAAGGCGACCTGCGCTTAAGCGTCTTGCAAATTATGACACTGACCTTTGTAGGCGCCTGCCACAAACAAACAGTTCTAGTAATTAATTTGTTATTTAATATACGTACTTATATGCATAGATATATATATATATATATATACATATGTACATTGTATGTACAGTCACACTCTTTTCTGCTCTCTCTCTCTCTCTCTCTCTGTCTCTGGCTGTCAGTTTATTGCTTGCCTTGTGGCTGACTCATGCTTACTTTGTGTACGTTGCTCTCATTCCACTAATTTGCATATGATCCGCTCTCGAAGCAGAATAAACAGTATATTAAACTCAAATTGATGAGCAACCTCAAAGATGCGCAAATGTCATTATCTGTCTGCCAACTACAGCTAACTTGTTTTACATAAATACAAATAAATAATTGATATATATATATATATACATATGTTAGTTATGTTGCCTAACCAAAACGCCAATTAAATTGAAGACACAAGACAAAACCCTGGAGCATTTTAGCTAACAGTGTCTAACATAAATACTCGCACACCGATGACTGAGACAGCTCAAAGAAGTTTTTCAATTGCACACAAATATTTTGTTAATGGTTTAAGTGTTTTATGTTGAATTAGTGTCTGTGCTCAAAGGACTGTGACTGACACAGCGAATGAATGTGTCAAACATGTTTTGCAAGTTTCCAGCCTGAGTTATAATTGATTTAAGAAAATATGTCGAAACTGATGAACACTGTACGCTTGCCTTGTGTCTGTGTGTATTCCCATTAGTAAAACTTTAACCGTACTCCATTGCGTATGTGTAATATGATTTATATATGCCATAGTCTTAATCGAAGCTTGATCGTCTCACGTGTAACAAATATTGTCGAATTGCCTTTTAATGAGTGCCACAAATGGGCTGCTCTTCAAGGGGAAAGGCCACATCAGCGTGTCTAGACCAGAGAGAGATAGAGAGAGGGAGAGGTAGAGGAAGAACAGTCATAAAAAGTGTCTATGGAGTTGGGAAATTAAACAATATCAGTTGACAACATTAAAACAGTGCAAACATAAATCTCAAAATACACACGCACAAGGAATACCCACAAAATGGAGCTCAGTATCCAAAATATACATTACAAATATACGTCTGTGTGTGTGTGTCTCTCTGTGTGAGTGTATGTGTGTGTATTTGAACATATTTTATGTGTCTTTTTGAATGTATTTTATTTATATCGTCGCATTTTTCTTAACTCTAATAAAAAAAAATAAACTAAATAAAAAATAAAAAAAAAGAATTGCAGCCGGAACGGCAGCGCCAGCCTTCATTTGATTTGTGTTACTCTTCCCGTTGCTCTTGTTGTTTTTGTTGATGTTGCCACTGCTGCCAGTGCTGCTACTGCTGCCACTGCTGCTGCCACTGCCACTGCTACTGCTGCCACTGCTGCTACTGCTGCCACTGCTACT